GAAGTGCTCACTAACACAGATTTAGACAGATTTGTGAACAATATTTGAGAGAAATAGGCCTTTTGTGTACATAGAAAAAGTCTTAGATCTTTGAGTTCAGCTCATGAAAAATGGGGGCAAAAAGAAAAGTGTTGCGTTTATAATTTTGTTCAGTATATATATATATATATATATATATATATACATACACACACTACTACTGTTGTTTATATCATAGTAATTGTATAATTATATATAATATTATAATTGTTATATTATTATTACAATCATTATTAATATTATTATATTATCTGCATAATTTGAGAAAAAAAAGAAACTGAACTGAGAAATCCACATGAATTACATAATGACAAAAATAATGAGGGTGAATGTTTGGGATGTCAACACTGCTGACTTTATTTTACGTTACTATCCGTAAAATAAATCTGGAGAAATCTGATCAGACATTGTTGAATTTATGTCAGATGTGAGACGTCATTTCAGTATTGAGATGCACTGTGATCACATTGGCAATATAAATGGTAATCATTAAAACTCATATTTGCGCACATAAGGGATACTGTATTAACATTTCACCTTCTTAAACAAGTGTTCTACTGGCAGATGTTTATTGGACGCTGCTTACATGCAGGTTCACAGGCACATTAGCAACTATGGCAACAAAAAAGTTCACATTTAGTCACCAGCACCACCATGAAGACTAGTTGTTTCAGGGAAAAACAAACTCTACTCAACAGTCCAAAAGTGATCCATCCTTGTATCGCGGAGTCTATGTTGATGAATTTGTTATTGCATCTCTATGTTAGTGTATTAGTCTTAAACCAAAGCTGAGTGAGGTTGCATACTAACGTTGAACAGATATTTCTAACACTCCACGGAGACCAAAAACTACCTCACAAAACCTACTCACTTTCACAAGCACAATATATCACATATGGATGGATTCAGCCTGGGAATGAATATCAGATGACCCACTTATATATAATTGATAGAAAACATGTTTTCTTTGTATCACATTAAGTTGATTCATAGCAGTTCAAACAATATAAGACAATGATGGAGTGTTGGCATGTTCATACAGTGGTTAAGATGAACAAGGTATACAAAACATTACAAGGAATGTTATTTATGTGTTGGTCAAAGCATGCAAGGCTAATATCAGATAGCTGGGACGTTGTACAATTGCATGAAGCAACATTGCAGCATACTGGAGAATGAAACAAAAGCAATAACGCCAAAAAGCATGATGGAAATCAAAAATGGTAACTATTTTAGGTAACTACATTACAAGGAATGTGGCATTTATGTGTTGGTCAAAGCATGCAAGGCTAATATCAGATAGCTGGGACGTTGTACAATTGCATGAAGCAACATTGCAGCATACTGGAGAATGAAACAAAAGCAATAACGCCAAAAAGCATGATGGAAATCAAAAATGGTAACTATTTTAGGTAACTATAATCATTTTAAGTGGTTACCAGTAAAACAGGTTAACTTTTAAAAGTTAATCCACATCAAGTATCTGTATGCCAGACACCTGCTTTGTTACATTCCCCCGATGCTATTTTTAGATTATTTTTAAGATCTGCATATGACCAATACAGGGCATGTGAAGGTGAAGTACTGACCAAGCATTCAAACAATTAAAAAAAATATATAATCACACTGGAGCTGTGTTCCACAATTCCCTTCGACACTTTATCAACAACATCAAGACATTTGGCTAGAACAGAACATGTACGATTCTTACATAATGGGCACATTGAGTAAACTGGTACCTACAGATGGATTTAAAACAATGGCAGAAAACATGGAGAGCTGGATCCTGGAGACCTATATGTGGAGGGGGAAAGGGATGATAGAGATGTTCAATTCTTCAGAATGGCATCGTACATCTGGTACACATACTGAGACACCTCTGGAGCCCTGCATTTCAGAGAGAGCTGAAAGAGAAAGAAAAAGCAATGAGTAACTTAATTAAATGTGGAGTAGTGTAACAAAATGGAAACAATATGACTGAAAACAATATGGAGATTGTTCATAATCCATAATAGCAAAAATAGTAGTATCCAAACATGTGTAAGCCCACAATATATACTGTACCACTAGTGTTAATGTTGTAGTCAAGACCACCTAAACCAAGACCGAGTGTGTTGAGACCAAGACAAGCCCAAACCACAACTCCACAAATTAATCTGAAACATCCACATTTACTGCCTGAAAAATGTATTGTATTTAAGTAATAAATACAATTAGAATAATAAGACACTGTATTGAGCTGTTACCAATCAAATGAAATCACTAACAACATAATTAATCTTTGCACTGCAGAGGCTGCATCTGAATTGGTACAATTCATAATAATTAATCATTTATAATTAAAATTGTGTCTAAATGCAGTTCACTATGTGCAACAAAGTGCACAAAAAAAACCTGTCCTTATAAAACACTGACATTAATTAATATTACAAATAAAATGCAGAAACCATTAAATAGTCACAAATGTTCATTCTCTATTTTTAATGTTGTCTGGGTCATATTTTCTTTTACCGTGCATAGTTTTATTAGAGTTGACCAGGTTTCTACCAAATGACTTAAAATTGCACCATAATATTTTGAGTTTGATTGGATACACAGCCTGTGACGCCAAAAACAAAAGATATTGGAAGCATTATCTCTTCTTTTTTGCAGCCATAACTACATGTGATTATATGGTTAATCCATTGATTTTCAGTATGGAACTGCAAGGACTGAAAACAATATGGAGATTGTTCATAATCCATAATAGCAAAAATAGTAGTATCCAAACATGTGTAAGCCCACAATATATACTGTACCACTAGTGTTAATGTTGTAGTCAAGACCACCTAAACCAAGACCGAGTGTGTTGAGACCAAGACAAGCCCAAACCACAACTCCACAAATTAATCTGAAACATCCACATTTACTGCCTGAAAAATGTATTGTATTTAAGTAATAAATACAATTAGAATAATAAGACACTGTATTGAGCTGTTACCAATCAAATGAAATCACTAATAACAAAATTCATCTTTGCACTGCAGAGGTGGCACAGAAGTTGCATCTGAATTGGTACAATTACAACTGCATAAATATTGTTGAGATCAATGTTTTAAAAGTAAATTTTTGCATATACAATTATGTTGGAAAAATATACTGATACTTTTAAATGACACTAAAACTGCCAGTAGGCTAGATGGCGGCAAATCACTTAATGAGTGAGTCATGGAATCATTTATTCAGCCGATTCATTCAAACCCGCCAATTCATTCAGTAATGAAATACTGCTGTTTTGCTCGGAAACGTTCTGCTATAGATTTGTTTGGAACTATTTTCATTGTGAAATAGCAAAAACTTTTTACATTTTTTTGTACAATTTGTGTCTAAAATGTAATTCACTTAACTTCTTGTAGAATGATTGTATAAAATCAATATCACGCTTGCAATCGTGCTTGTATTCATGAAAACAGCTCTCTTGCTCTTGTGATATTGCTTAATTATATATATTATTTTATAAGTACAAGGTCTCATACAAGTACTTTTTTGCAATCGTATCTTGAATTATTTTGGCATTTGTATTAATTTTGCAAACATTTTTTAGGCAATTCTCCACTAAATTCTGACATGGCACAACAGTATCAAAAGAAATCAAATTAGAAATAAGTTCTTGATTGCATTTGAGGCAGGAAGTTTTACATCATCACATTAATGATGTTAACAAATAAATCAGACAACGCACTGGCAATTTAGTGATATCATCACGGTCGTGGTCTTGATCAGTCTTGAAATAAAATCCCTAGTCCTCTTAGTCTGAGACCGAGACAAGAACGAGTCCAAATGCAGTGGAGACGGAGAGAAGACCAAGACCTTCAAAAAAAGATCTTAAGACCTGAGGCCTGAGACATTTGCCCTGAGAAATTTGAATTGCAGAATTTGCCCCTTTTACTTTAATGACAGCAGAATGAACTCCACAAGTTTGTGTCAAAGCTGATAATCATTTAAGAGGATCCAAAAAACACATTGAGCTTCAGTGGAAACAAAAACTTCTGCCTGTCTGCAAAGAGCCACTTGATCAATGTCAGTAATTCCTTATTTGATTAGTGATCCAGAAACAGTGTAGAATTTTATTTTATTTCTTTCCAGCATTTTTTGGTTTATATATTTCAAAACCCTAAAATGTTATTTCCAGGTTTAAATTAGATTCTGAAAGTGAGTCACAGACTTTTGGACTCCACTGTATTTCTTTCTTTCTCTGTTTTTAGTTAACGAAACAAAACATCCTCCAAGAGGAGGTCTACCTATATACATATAGGTCAGCTCAGCTCAGCTCTTGCTGTCAATGAACGCTTCCCTTTAAATGTCACTATATTCACACTGACCGAAGATAAATCCAAGTGATGTTTTCTCCAATTGATTGCACCGAGTAATTCTCGGACCACCAGGAACATAATCCCACGTACAGCAGGGCTTGTATTGGTTACCTCTACTTGAGGAATGTGTTTCCAGAGGTCTCGGCTCTTGGCAGACAACAGCACTCCATCACCGGCTGTTAGGTTAAACCGCGCTGGCTCGATGGAGTCCAGTTATCATCTGTTCAGATCGGAGCCAGCTGCTGCCAGAATACTGAGAGCCGAAGTCTCATTAAAAATCAATTGTCTGGGATCAGGTAGGGTTTCTGATCGCACTGAGCCGACTTGGCCTCAGGGGGCCACAGCCAATCAAGCTCAGCAGAGGTGGCTGAGCAGATGCCTTCTGAATAATCAAGAGAGTTCTATTGTTAATCAACATATTAATCTATTTAGCAGTCTCTTAATTTGGCCACCAACTTCCTAACAGAAAATTTGTACAGTCCATGGCTGCTGAAACTGAAGGCAGACGTCTTGCTGGCCAGTCAGTTGAGATTGCTTTTTCTATGTTTTTGTCCTAAGGACTACAATGCTTAATTCTCACTGGAAATGGAATCATAAATTGAAAAAATTACATTCATGATTTTTTTCCAACTCTTCCATCAGATGCCATTCTTATTATTTCTACCAACTGCCAACCACACACACAGGATTGTGGGAAATCTGAAGCAGTGAACAATGCATCTATGCTGCCTTCAGAAAAACAATACTATAGAAACACTGAACCTGGATGTGTCCTGCATGACGCCTGTGTTCCTGCACTAATTATAAAACGCAACACTGCTCATGAGTCTGTAGCGTGAAACAAAGCCGACTCGGAGTTGGTTCTTTTTAGTGAATCAATGCAATCGCTGTATATATATGATTCCCAAATGAATGACTCTTAAAAGCCACGGCCCTGAGTGTAACTACTGTAGTCTGATTCTCAAATGAATGACTCTTGTGAGACTCAAAATCAAAATCAAAAGTGAATAAAAAAAAAAAACAAAGAATGACTTTGAATGACTAATGATTCGATTCTAATTAGTGAATCAAATCCATACAGCTTTTGTACTTGGTTTTATATATATATATATATATATTAGGGGTGTAACGGTACACAAATATGAC